ACTACAGCTTGTGTTTGTCTGAAGGCCTGTCCTCAGTCCAACAAACGCCATCTTGGGGCATTCAGCTGTGCCCGCTTGAGAAGATCATCCCAGCTGGGCTTGTTGACTGGCCACACTCCTCACAGAAGGTCAGGGAGGGTCAAGAGACCCCACCTGAGTAAACAGTCCCTCCATTAACACCTGTTGCACGCACACGGCCTTGGAGAGGGCAGGGGCTGTAGCTGGGGAAGACTACGGATGGGGGCTCCAGCCATTTTCCTTGCTTCTGGTGGGGGCTTTGTGGCGACCGCACACACTTCAGTGGGTAACCTCTCCCCTGTGCTCTGTCAGGAAGCCCACTAAATTCATTTACTCACCCAGAGTGCCCTTTGGTGCTTTTGTGTCTTGGTTTGTTGTTGGGACTTTGCATCTCCCTGGGAAGGAACTTTAGTCCCAGTGTTCCACTGGTGGTAGGTAGCACTAGGGACTATGGCTGCAGGGGTGTTGAGGGGCCACAGAGGGTAAAGTGAGACAGTAGTGTGCCTGTAGGGTTTGCCCTTCTGCATTGCCTCCCTCTACTGAGAATGGAGGAGCTAGGCTGGGTCTTGCCATGGCCCACCCACAGGCAAGGCAAGCAGGAAGCCCTCAGTGCCCCGGTCCACTCAAGGGCATGTGGCTTTCTGTTGGCTGGCAGGTTGGCAGTTCTGAGCTCATTGATGCTCTCGGAGGGGTGTTGAGGGGGATGCCGTCCTGCCTGGACTCTGGCACACCAGGCTGATTCCGTCGTTGTTGGGGCCCAGAGAAGACTGTCCACACTGTGCTCCGGGATCTGTGCCCGGTAGATCTTGGGATGGTGGGGAGAAGCCTCTTTCTCTGCTTAGCCCACTCTTCTCACCGTGCCCCTTCCGCAGGACCCTGCTGGTAGGGTTTCCTGGTCATTCCTGAGTTCCAGGAGTTTTGTTTGCAGTGTCTACGGGAAGCTTTAAATCTGTTCGCTGAACCTTCGCCTAGAGTCAGGTATCATATGGGTGTGGCCTGAGCAACTAATTGTGAGACCATGCTGTCCTCTGTCCTTGGGCTTCAGGCCGAGGGTGGCTTTGTGCTGTTGGTCCCTAATGCTGAGACACCTCTCATGTATTCTCCTAGGCGTCAGGTGGAGGGGTCACCAGCCTGCAGGCCCTGTTTTCTGTTCCCTGGGCATTCCAGGGGGAAGGAGGGGCCTTCAGAGAGGCAAGGCCCACAGTACCTTCCTTTTCCGAGTGATTAGAACTGGGTGCCACTTCCTTCTCCGAGTGCTTAGAACTGGGTGTTAGATGGTATCTAGAAAGAGATGACTTAGGGGAATCAGCTGTAGATGTGGAAACTGCCTGTGTGGTGGCTTGCTTCCCTGAACGTGAGCATGATGGTTCAGTTCTTTGTAATCATGCCTCTGCCTCGGAGCTCCCAGGCTTAGTTTTCACGGGACACGTTTGTTTGTTTGTTTGTTTTTCCTAAATTCCTTTTTTGTATTGTGTTTGTCTTTCTATGTGTGAGTACCACCAACTCACTGTAGCCAGTTCTCTCCTTCTGGCATACGAGTTCCGGGGTATTGAACTCAGGTTGTCCAGCTCAGCAGCAAGGGGCCTTTACCACTGACTCAGGGCATAGGGCATGTGGTTTCCTAGTAAACCTCCCGGCTTGGGAGTCACTTGTGCAGGTGGGTGGCCCCTGGAGACTTGATTCCTGTACAGTGGGGCTGCTGCTGGTGTGGGGACAAGCAGGAGTTTCATTATGGGAAGCCAGGAGTTGGCCTCCACGATTCTGGTCCTGGAGTAGACGGAGCTGCTCTCCTCCAGTCCAGATGGGTCTCTTGTGTGTGTTGTAGGGGCTCTTGATACTCACTGCCTTTGTTGATGTGCTGCTCCGTGAACGTTTGAAAGCCACATCAAGTCTGGGGTGCCTCCACAGTGAATCGGCAAACGCTAATTGGCTCACAGCTCCTTCTTGCTCGCAAAAATAAACCTGTCAGTACACAGATTAAACAGGAAGCCAGTACAGAGGAGCCTGCAACTTTTGGACTGAGGCCCTGGTGGAACATTCCCAGGGAGAGCTCGCCGGCAAGGGAGAGACCTGCTCAAGGTTGCCACCCTTGCAGCCACTGCCTGCCATGCTGGCTGTTTTAGGCCTGCCCTGATACTCTGTGGGATATGAGTATGGGTGCATACCGTCACTGGACTGCTTTCTGGACCTTTCCTTCTTTGTTTTCTTTCTTTCTTTCTTTCTTTCTTTCTTTCTTTCTTTTTTTTTTTTTTTCCTTCATTCAGGGTTTCTCTCTGTAGCCCTGCTATCCTGGACTAACTTTGTAGACCAGGCTGGCCTCAAACTCATAGAGATCTGCCTGCCTCGGCCTCTGGAGTGCTGGGATTAATGGCGTGTGCCACCACCTGGCTAGAAGTTTTCTGTTACTCAAGTTTCACCTTGCCCAGAGCCCCCTCTCTGCAGTTTGAAACTTGCTGGTTTTTAAGATACTTTGAAGGTCGGCTGCCACAAGCCTCCAGCAGCTCCAGGTGTCTTCTGCCACCTCTCCTTTGACCATATGTATCTTGACATTCATCCAGTCATCTTTAGCATTTCCTCTTTGAGCTCTGTAATCCCAGGTGTGTGAGTTGGTGAGGCCTTCACAAGAAGGGGAGGCAGATGCTACCAGCTCTTCTTGGCTGTTTCCATAGTGTGTGGTGAGTATTCACTCGATGGCTTGAGTTTGGTTCCTACGCACTCTGGCCCTGTTCTGGATTGCCTGGTGTGGATGGGAGTTCCTCATCTTTCTCTCTGTGAGCTGGTTGGCATCTTTCTGCTCATATGGTAGCCGTGTGGGGACTAAGGACTAGGCCCAGAGTGAAGCAGGAGAGCCCTGGTTCTTCCCCATATGATCTGCAGGGTGAGGGTGTGCTGTGGGATGGAGGCTCCTGCTGCACAGACATGTTCCACTCACACATGTACCCAGTGAGGGCCTCCCAGGTTAGCTGTGACATTTTCCTATGTCCATGTCTCCCTCTTCCCTTTAAGGCCAGGCAGTGTGTGGGACATGGAGGCAGCAGCCTCTTGTTTACACTGTGGACTTTTATTTGCAAGCCAGCACCGAGGTGTGCCCTCACCTGCCATAGTGAGAGCAGGGAAACTGCTGCCCTCGTTCTCACCTCTGCATGAGTGGCCAAGGACCCAGAGAGTTAGCATCTTCCACTGTTGACTAAAGTTTTCTTGGCAGTGAGTTGGCCATGACAGGCCGGTGGGCTTTCTGGGAAGTGCAGCTGGGGGCCATCTGGCATCCCTGCAGCGCTGGAGCCCTGGGAGAGTCATTGCTGGAGCATGGGCCGAGCAGTGAGGTCATCTTCCTGGAATCCTCATTGAGCCCCGGGTGCTATGGACATGCTGGACATGCTGCCCAGAACCCTCCTCGGCCACAGCTGGAAAGTGCTTCCTGCTGCTGCTCACAGCCTGGGATTTAGAGCAGCTTGTGTGTGGTTTTGGGGATGTGGGGGCAGGAGGGGCATGACTCAGTCTGGACACCTGAGGCCTTCCTGGGGTGCAGCTTTGTGCTTTGTGCTGACAGGCTGGTGTTGGTGGAGCCCTGGGAGGATGTGTGTCCAATAGCCAAGAGGCCCCTTGTCAAGCCAACACCTCGTAAGAAAACTCTTTTCCACTGTGTACTGCACGCCTTCTTCCAAATCTGTGTAGTAAAGAGAAAATTTAATCTTTTTAGGTCCTTTAACAGAAGCCCTGTGAGTCATGAGTTTCTTCCAGGCTAACCTTGTTTCCAATATCTGTAGGCAGGATTTAAAAAAAGAAAAAAAAAAAAAAAAAAAAAGAGTGTCTGAACCTGGCACAGTGCCGCATGCATGTAATCACAGCACTCTGGGAAGCAGAGGCACGTGGAACTATGTGAGTTCAAGGCCAGCCTGGTCTACAAAGCAATTCCAGGACAGCCAAGACTACCCAGAGAAACCCTGTCTCCAAAACAAAACAAAACAAGAAAGTCTATCTTTTATTTCTTCTTTGGCAATTTCATACTTTGTGTCTCGACCTTGTCTAGTCCCCAGAGGATCTTCATATCCTTTCCTTTTTGATTTTGATTTTCTGAGCCTGTGTGTGCATGGGCCTGCAGTGCACAGAAGAGGGTGTTGGATCCACTGGGACTGGAGTTGCAGCTGCTGTGAGCTGCCTGGTGTGGTGGCTCCTGCGCTGTCCCCCTAGCTGTTGAGCTGCGCCCCAGCCCCCCTCTTCCCGCTTCTCCTTTGTTGATGTGACGACCCAGTCTTTAGTGCTGCCTGCTGGAATGCTGACTTATCTTGGTGGTTTGATCTTGTGCTGGTAACTGTGGCTGCTGTGAGCAAGTTCAGGGGTGCAGCAGCCATGTCACGGCCAGAAGACAGTATGTCACAGCACTCCTCATCACCAGCTCTTCAGTCCTTTCTGCTGGCTCCCTGGAAGTTATGTTGATGCTTTTTCTTCCCCAGAGATAAGCATAGCACCTTTCAGCACTGTTAAAGCCACCCGGAAGTGGGGGGGGGCGTTTCAGGTCAGTTCCAGATGGGTTTCTTTATGTCCTACAGCGAAGTGTCTTCAGCACTAGGGTCTTGCTATGTGGTTATGGGGACAACTAAGAACAGAACAATAGCCTGTGTTATTTGGGGGCCTCTGGGTCTTCCCTGACCAATAACTCAGAGGAGGTAGCCCACCAGTAGGCAGGGTTTTTCTGAGGTGGATTTGTGTTGAGGGGAAGATGGAATCGGGCAGGAACTTTGGGAACTTTCTCATTGCTGCTCTCAGTTGGCCCCTGCATTATCGGGGAGTGACTTTATTGGGTTTGTATGCAGGCACTGCTGCTTTGTCTGTGTTAACACTGGCCACTTAAGGTGCTGGGAAGAAGGAAGGCTTAAATTATATGGAAAAATCTGAACTGGCCAAAATTCTGTCTTCCGGCAAAGGGTCAGTCCTCAGAGGTATTTGACAAAGGCAACTCATTTGCATGTTTCTTTAAACAGGTCACCATGGCTGTTACTGGCTCCCTTGTTGTCCCCAACTGTCCCTCAGGTCACCTCCCCACCTTGCTGCCTTTGTCCCGAGGGCGTGCACAGGTTCCAGTGGATCAGAAACCTGGTCCCAGAATTTGGAGTCTCCAGCTCGCACGTGAGGGTGCTTTCTTCCCCTGCAGAGTTCTTCGAGCTCATGAAGGTGAGTTGCTTGAGGGACCACGGACAGGAATTGGAGTGGGCTTTCAGGGTTTGGCGTGTCCCGAACCCCTGTTGTAGACACTTGTGACACACCTCTACTTAGCTGTGAGGTTTCACCCTCATCTGGAGTTGACTTGAGCTCCAGGCAGAAGCCTCTCCGGCTGGCCAGTGTCCCAGAGCAGGGAGGAATGGCAGGACCAGACCCTGAGACTGGCGGCCAGCAGTCCCTCCGTGCTAAGGATGATGGGGTCGTGCGTGAGGACCCTGCCCGGGTGGCAGCTTCATTATGGTAGCTGTACCGACCGGGAGATTCGAGGTGGGGTCAGGTGAGTGTGTGCAGTGCCGCCCGGCGACTTCAAGTCAGGAGATACGTACTGTTTGGCCTGGAGTCCTGGCATCCTGCATTACCGGGAGTCTGTCAGTGGTGTGCGCTTCCCCTTTTTCCCGGTGGTGTCACCTATGGTTTGCTTTCTGTTATACTCAGGTTCACATTACATGTCTAGTTCATGGTTTGACTACTAACTAGAGTGAAGTAGTTCAACACTGATTAATCTTAACTATGTGAACTCTGAATCCATATTAGCAGTGGCTCTAGAATGGGGTCTGCTGAGGCCGGTGGCCAGCAGGGTCCTGGGAGACAGCAGCATCGGGGTCAGGGGGTGGTTCATCTCTGTAGAAAGTGAGCGCTTATCTGTGGAAAACCCGCTGTCTCTTTCCTCTCATCCTCTGCCTGTGCTGATACACTTAGCTCCATTTCTGCCTGGTTCATTTTTTCTCTTTTGTTTTTCTAGTCAGGCTTTCTCTGTGTAGCCTTGGCTTCTCTGTCCTTGACTTATTTGGTAGACCAGGCTGTCCTTGAACTCATAGAGATCCATCTGCCTCTTCCTCTGCCTCTCCAAGTGCTGGGATTAAAAGGGTATGTCACCATGCCTGGCTGGCTGGTTCATTCTTTATGTGTGTGCCCATGGGCAGGGCTGAGCTGGGTTCATGCAGCATGGACCACAGACCATGGGCGTTTGCTCTCCTCACACCCGGCTTCTCTACCCTCTTCCTCATTGTGAGGACGATCCTGCAGTGTGCTCTCTGCTTGTCACTTGGAGAAACAGGTTATTCCAGGTGGTGGCTGACTGACAGCCTCTGTTGTTACATGGTGCTCTTCTGGTCAGGAGACCGTGCTCTGCACTTGCCCACAGTGGTGAAGCGGAAGAATCCAAGAAGCAGCAGGGGCTGGCTCTGGGCTGAGAAGAGGCAAGGCCTTCTTTTCTTGTCCTTGTTCAAGAGGGCAGGCTGGAGGCCAGCAGGCTCTCATCACCTCAGGGCACGTGTGTGTGAAATGCCCTGGACAGACACTGCTCCCACTGGTCTCTGGCTGGTCCTGTGCCTGCCTTATGCAGGGGTTGACTGGGGTCCTGCTGTGATGTATACTTTGGTGGCTGGGGCCAAATTGACTGTGCCTATTGCTTTTTTTCTTCACCTTCATTTCTACAAACTACATTTTAATAGACAACAAAACAAAGGAAGTAGCAGCCTGAGGATGTTGCTTGCTTTTTCCTGTGCCTAAGCATTTTCCAGGGGTGTGTTGATGCATCGGTCTGGTCAGTGTGCCCAGCTTCCTGTGTGGACAATACTAGCTGGGGTGACATCGCTCCTTGAGATACAGGCATGAGGCAGGCTGCTCGGCTCCCTCCTTCTAATTATGCTGTCCTTTGATGTTGGTCTTACGCTGAGTCTTAAGCTGCCCCATCTGGCCCCTAACACAGTGTTAGCTGATCCTGTCTTGTCTTGCAAGAGCTGGTGTGACAGGTGTGATAGGTGTGCTTGCTGCCACCTCTGGGCGCCAGCTGCCTCGGATCTTGGAGGTGGAGTCTTCATTCTCCTGGGCTGGAGCAGAGCCTAGGGAGGCTGGCTCTTGAGACAACTTGGGATGTGTTGGTTGTATTTTCCTGTGTGTGTGCGTGTGCGTGTGCATGTGCACGCATTTATGCACCCATGCTTGATTACAGACAGCTGGGCCTCAGAGGAAGGCAGGGGCAGCTGTCTACACACTCTTCTTCCTGCCGGCCCTGCAGCTCAGAGCCCCCTGCTCCTTTGGACCCGGATGTGCATACACACATGTGGGTGCAGCTGTGTGTCTGTAGGATTTATAGGTGAGGTTGTGTGTAATTAACCTCTCTTAGCTCATTGTGGGGTGAGTTCTCATCAGGGTGCACAGACCTCGTTCATCTGGGGTTGGAGAGAATGCTCGGTCTGTGGGGTGCTTGCCTCACAAGTGTGAGGATTTGAGTTCCACCCCAGCACTTCGGGAAAAGGCTGGGCCTGGTCATGTGTGCTCCTAACCCCAGTGCTGGCCTGCAGAGGTGGGTGGACTCCTAGGGCATGCTGACCAGCCAGCCTGCTTGGTGAGTTCTAGGCTAGTGACACCCTGTCTCAAAGGTAAACAAAACACATGGTGGAACAACCCAAGGTAGCTCTGTGTCCCTATATGCATGTCTACACACTTGTATGTGGCCAGCACTTACATGCGTATGCATAAATACATCACACACACACACACACACACACACACACACACACACACACACACAC